ATGTCGATAGCGTAAATAATTCCGGAGATATAAGGGATCGAAGCGTTTGTTTACTTTTCATTGTTGACATCGGCGCGAGGTCATTGACCGCGCGCGTAGATAGTAAACAATGGTAAAAATTACCTTTTATATAAATCACGATATCTCCCAAATGGAATGCCAGATAAACATAAACCAAAAATCATTTTAAAGAGAAAGGTTTGCCGCTCCTAATGATATCTCAATTATGGATAAAACACTAATATCTTCGGAACTGCATGCGTCTAAAGTTTTAGTATTTTTAATACGCCTTGTTAGACTGTTCCAAGACAGTGGAGACTGAAGATTCTGTTCTTTCATTATTGCTATATATCTATTTCCTATTTACATCGGAAGCTAACCAGAATTTTATACCAAATTTCGAACAAATCGCTGCTGTCATAGTTGCTAAAAGCTGACGAAATAATACAAATAAAATCTTATGACACTGTTGCACATTTTTTAAAACAGTATGGCAGTAGAATAATATATGTAACAGATTTTTATTAAATCTTGCGTAACTATGCAAATAAATTATCATTTTCTAGAAAAGTATTATCATTAGATCCCTGTTGTCTTTCTCTGTAAGGCTAAGAACGAAGGAATAGGACGATTTACGAGTCGAGAAACTAGTTCAGCGAATGTTCTATTCCTTGTTCGACAACGTACACCCACCGTGCACGAGTCCGTCGAGTGTCATAGACAAACGACGTAATGGATACGCATAATAATAGGAGAGCCTTAATTAATACAGTCGTATGTAGTTTCGAAGCAACCGCGCAAACTTCATAAGCGAGTGGTGTATCGCTCCATTAAAGTAACAAGAATGTATGCAGTGGCCGATGAAGCCAGCAAGAACCAGAACCCTCAACATATGTATTCAACGTCGTGGACGGTAGTCTTCGTTGAAAAAAGAACATCTGCAAAAGAAAACACGGAGCTTCGAGCTTACGAATGCGTCCCAGCTGAGTAACCAGAAGATGTACTTTCTATGCAATTAATTAAAACCAATTCGCGGTTATTTCTTAAGACGTCGCAGGCATCGCTAAATCAAATGCAAATATAAAACTTGTAAATTTTTTCTGTGCAACGTAATTCCTTCCATCGTTTTCTGAAAACATTAGCAGCGTCTTAAATATCACACGGATGAACGAAGTTTCTATAATACCAAAATTTGACAAAAAATTGATTTATTCTATAAATTCATATTTGCTTAAACTTGTTAGAACACTGTTCAATTTCATTCGTTGAGAAAAATTACGAGGATAACGTTATTTTTCAACAAGATGGCACGAGAATAATTTGGACAAACTTTTAGAAGGTTTACAAAAGCAGTGAGACTTTACTAAAATTAGTTTGTGGTATGGAAAATCGAATATTTGAAGTCATTACTCTAATTATATTGATGTAATTATGATAGGACTGTACCTTAGACTAACTTGCCTACAAATTCTTCTCAACGAGTTTCAACCTGGCATCATCTGTTTACAGGAAACCCACCTCAAACCTCTTCGAACCTTTAAACTAAAAACAATATCGAGTATATTACCAATCAAAATTCTCAAATTGCAAATAGTGGAGTGGTCATATTTGTCAGAAACTCTATTTCAAATCTGTTTCTTTTTTATTCCTGTCCGCCTGAAATTTCACGAAATACTGAACAGTTTGTGAACATACAAACACAGTGCGCTATCATTTCATCGTTGGAACAGTTTTTCTTCGTTACTCACAAAACCTAGCGAAGTTGTGGGATATAACCATTCTATCTTAAGTGAATTCGAAGAGTATAGAAGCACCAAAACAAATCTGGGGTCGCTTAGGCTATAAAGATGAAGATCTTCCGGCCTGTAAGGTACATAGTTAATAAGACTCCAAGGGTATTCGAAGTCTTTTCCCCCCGCGAAGTAACTTAATTTGTTCAGCGTTCGAAGGGTTAACGCTTTGGGCAGGAAAATAGAAGGCTTCCGTCGAACGGATGGGTGTTCCAGGAGAGGATGTCGGTTACGCACTCCGGTGTATGTGTACGACGGTAGCGGCAAAGCCTATCGATTTGCTCTCACGCTAGCGAGATGGACGAACGAGACCAGAGCGAAATAGAATCAACTTCTGCATTCTCCCGTGAATGCGGCTTTACCAGCCCCTTCCGAAAACCGCCTTCAAAGATCAAAGACTCCATACCGACAACAACGAGAAAACGGAAAAAATAATATCTTTTGCCCTCCCTCGGATTCCCAGTCGTTCTTCGACCATGAAAAACGGAATTATGATGCTTTAAGCGAAACGATAAGAAAACAAGTCCAGCTATGAGTAAATGTCCCAATTATTTACACTTTTTTCTGGTTATAAATAGTAACGCATTGCCAACCGATTTGGAGAGATCTCCATCTTTGTGCCACAGTTAATTCATAGTTCATTCAACTGACAGTAGATAAACATTAATTTTCAAAAAATATTCCTATTTGAGATCATCAATTGTACTTACAACATAATTTCCCACTTTTAAGAAACACAGTTACCTATAAATTATTCCATCAGGAAAAATCTTTTTTAGTAACACTGAAAGAATTATATACAAAATAGCCTTATGTATTTAAGAGATTAATGATCGCTAATTTCAATAACAATATTTTTAAATCCGATATGTTATAAATAATTCAAGTATTAACTTTGCAGTTTCATCATTAAGAAGGTAATCCCATTTAGAATTTTCTAATGGTCTCATCGAAATTTTTATTAAATTAGAATATTTTGTTCATTCAGTTTAAAACCATACTTTTAGCTTTATGTTTTAGGAATATTCACAATTTTTTTCGTACAAGAATATTAAATTGCAGGAGTTACAATAATTTCAATGACGATCACAATAAGATAGTTTTACTTTTAGATTTTTTTCCGAATTGCTCCAAAAACGTATACAAAGTTTAAAGTAAAATATACAATTTTAATTAAGTCAGATTTTTTAAAAATGTTTTAAAATATATTTAAAAAATAGTATATTCAATAAACTGAAAGTGTCGATAATTGAGTCAGTATCAAAATTAGGTGTATTTGCCTTTATAAACAACGAAAAGAATATAATCGAAATTAAGTTCATCGTGTTCGGACAAGAACATTTCGCGTAAAAAGAAATTGTTAAATAACAACATGAGTTTTATACGCGGAAACTATTATTATCCGTAAAAAGAGAAAGCAAACAGAATCGGAGAAAGCTAAACGAAATAACAATTTGAGGAAAGATTAATTTTAAAATGAATAAGAAACGTGATGTATGACGAGGTTTTCGACCTATACCACGCGAGAACCGAGCACGTAATTAACAGAATGGCTGCTGATATCATCAAGATGCAAAATGAAAACGAAAGGAAGATCAAGGTGAATGATGGCTACGAGTTCGTTGTATCGTAAAGCGTAACACGGAACGTTTTACATTTTTATGAATAACCAGTCACGCCAGATGAAATATTTGTCGAAAGACGGATACAAATTCTGCTATGAATAATGTTAGAGACTTTAAAAGCCAATGCCAATTAATTGATACTAAAGTTTTATGCGCAATCTAATGCTAAATTCGTTTCATCGTGCATATGCAACGAGAGTAGCACACGAAAGGATCTGTGAATTCTTTAAGATGAACAATTGGAAATTTAATTTCTATGAAAATATACACTACCGTTCAAAAGTTTAGAGTTGAGTATTGTAAAATCATGTTACAGATACGCATGAAAAATAGTAATGACTTAAAAGCAATAAAAAAAACTTTTATTTATCAAAATGACTACCTTATTCCAAATAAGTCCCAAATCTTAGGCATTCCATTCGTTAATTTATTAAAATATTTTGTATCTAACACAAAGATTGGAAACCTAATCATAATGCTTCGAAAGAAATGACGAAATGATAAAAATATGGATTCATGGTCTTATAAGATCATATTCACTGAAAAATCTGTTTTAGAGAAATGTCCTTTTCGTAAGATTACTTTAATAAATTGTAGTTAATAAGAAATCGAGATTCTGAAGACTGATACAGAATTTTTAAATCCTTTATTTGTGTTCTACATTTGTACTCCAACATCCTCGATAGTGATTGCCCTATCGTAAACACATGGATATCGAATCTATACGAATGAATATACTCACGATAATTTCTGAATAGAATCTCTGGCTTGCAGAAGGTATACACAAAATACGAAAACAAAAATAAACTCGTGGATTCAACGTTACGCAACTCACGACTGTACAAACACTGCATCGATACGAGATTCTAGTAACATCGGGACGAGATATCGTCATCAAGCCTTATCATAATTCGTTAGTCACTCTTTAGCAAGTCACATGGTTTCCCTTATTTCTCTTTTCATGAAATTACATTTTAAAACTTTGACTATGTATCCATTAAATCCTCTTTTGGGAATTTTCAGCAGTTTAGGGTACGATTGCCTACACACCGCTATTTTTAAAAAACGAACGAAGAATGTAAAACGTCTCTGCGTGCAGCATCTCTCCTTTAGAGCAAGCAAGACAATTAATAATTTGTTCCCGTAGTTTCCATCGAGCAATGATACCTCGTTCTAAAATAAGCGATGAATAATCACACTGATACTTAAAAATGCGTTTGTTACAAGAAAGAATCATTGGCATAGAGTGGGTTATTAGACTTGGCGTAAATTGACCCTTCTACAAATACATTCATCCGGTTAACAAAAATTTTAATGTGATCTTAAGATAATAATAAATAAGCTGCTTAAATGTCAAAATGATAGGTAGTTCTGTTTAGAAAAAATTTCTCATTATCGTCTTAATTTCGGGCTGTTAGTGTATTGGCCACTTAAATGTTCGAATATTTTCGTGAGCCACTGTCTATATTATCGTTTCTCCAAATCTCGAAAGATTTAACTATTCAAACAATACACAATGTGACTGATTAGTTGTAAATTTCATTTACGTGGATTTTAAATATTAGAATTGTAAATGTTTACTCACTTTTGCAGTCTGAGGCTCGATGTCCGTAAGCCGTTGCGCACGAGGCCTCTCCTGAGCCGGTCCTGGCATCCTTTGCAGCCTCTCCGTGGACGAGGACGAGGAGGACGAGGATCCAGGCCTTTGGCCTGGTTTGCCACGCGCCAGGATGATGGCTGGATTTTACTTTCCGCTCGATTGAACCATTATTCCTCTTTCGCGTTCTCCTGCGCAAACAATTTGCCACGATACTCAGACGTCTTTATAGCGACTTTTATAACGGCGAAATATTAACTCACATATACTGAACGCGTAAACGTTGAATAGCAGACGGCCGTAAATATCACGCAAACAAGTTACATTTACGGACAGAATTAGGTGGACAGGCAAAGGAAATAAGTATAAATAAAATTTAACCAAAGTAATATAACTATCATGCACTTAAGTTTTCTATATTATGCAGGGTGTTCGGTCACCCCTGGGAAAAATTTCAGTGAGAGATTCTAGAGGCCAAAATACGACGAAAATCAAGAATATCAATTTTTTGATTGAGGCTTCGTTAAAAGTTATTAACAAAATTAAATTAAAAAATTTCAAATCGTTCTGGAAAAATTATTTTCGGTTGCGGGGATCAATTACAATCATTTTGGGTGAATACCCCTACCTACGAAATCCTACTTATTTTCGAGAAAAAAATTCATTACTGAAAATATAATGTCTGATAATAACTTCCTTATTAGAAATTTTTCCGGCGAAATTAATATTTTCAAATCATTCTGAAAAAATTATTTTCAGTTGCATGGGTCAATTGCAATCATTTTTTGTCAATATACATACCCCCGAAATCCTATTCACTTTCGAAAAAAAAATTCTTTACTGAAAATATAACTGGCTGCTTATCTTGAATAAAAACAAATTTTAAATCGGTTCTGAGAAAATTATTTTCGGTTGCGGGGCTCAGTTACAATCATTTTTTTGTGAATAGACACACCCCCGAAATTCTACGCACTTTCGAAAAAAAAATTCGAGTTAGTGAACAAATTTTATTTAGAATTTCAAGCGTTAATAAACTCCCATTTGCGTTTTATTCGTAATCCAAAAATCCACTAATGGATTTTTTAAACCAACATTCAAACGAGCGAAATAGTCGCGGGCAAAAACGACTAATGCGAATACGAATTTAAAATTTGTATTCGTTAATCAAGAATAAAATTTGTTCGAATTCGCGGTGTGAAAATTTATGGAGTGAATCAAATGTGAATAAAGAAACGTAAGAAATTTTTTAATTGAACATAATCGAGCAACAAAGTCAGTCAAGTTCCCAATCCTCTATTTCAATTAACGCGTATGTTTCTTATAAATAATTCTAATTAAATTTAATGTTGATACTTCATATGTAAATTTCTTAATCGATAGAAAGCAAGAATTTTAGCGTCCAAAGTAGCAGCTCCGCAAATACTGTCCAGAAATTATAAAGCAGGCCGTCTAGCGAATAATTCAATTTTGAACACAAGTTGCTTCCAATATTGAATTCTAGTCTGACGTTCGCTAGCGAACAGAACTTTCGCAGCGACCTAATAATATCCAAAATTTATTTTTGTCGTATTGTGAAGGAACACCACAGTTGCTTAACCTACACGCTGATCACAAGCATGTTCGTGCGTTTTTTCTTCAACTCGCGAGGACTTCTATATTTCATGTAATTATAAATAAATTTTCGAGACCGTGTTTATAAAGAAACCAAACTACTTCCTTACGTTTATTCGAACGTATATCGTTACGAATAAAGGAGTATGTTTTAAAACAATAATAACGACGATAATACTACGCCTTTATCGTACCAAACTAATAAACGTTACGAAATTAGACTTGAACGAAAAGAAAAAAAATAGTAAACATATCTGTATACGTTAGGTACATACTATTACGAACCTAACCTTGAGTATATTTTAGATTCTAATAACTGAGCCGGACTATAGTTCTGTTCGAAATTAAGAAAATTTGGTATGATTTTTTACCTCGATTATTCTACGATGCTTCTTTTCCTAATAAATCGGTGCTTGCAAAGTGTGATTCCATGATCCTTTTAATGGAATTATGTGATGTTTTTACATAAACCAATTTTTTGGATCATTCTAAGCATAAAATGTAGAGAAATATTTCTCAGCTCAAAAGATTTTATTTTTCATAGTATAACAAGTAATATGTACTCAAACGTTTCTCTATTACATTCTAATTATTGAACAATTTACTTTAATTTTATCTTTACAGTTATTTTCCGAAACAAAATGATACAAATATATTTAATTTTTTTTTAGAGAATCCCACTCAATCTCCTAAAACATTGAACTTTCGATTAAAAAAAAAAATCAGGTAGTTCCATTAAAAAACGGAGTACAATTGCAAATGCATCTATACACTTGAGAATAAAATCGTGTTATAGGACAATAGACATTATTAAACTATACAAAATGATCTACGATTTTGTAGTAACTTCACTTAAGAGTGAGATAACATTTTTTCGTACAAAGCTTCAAAATTATCCTGAAGATTTATGGGTTAAGCGTGTCCTTCGCTGATAAGTTTGAACATCACGGATCTCTGTACATATTCTTATCGTATATACATGCAAAGCATATAGAGTTAATAATAATAAAAATAGCACTTCTGCTTATAAATCATTTTATCAATCACACAACACCTAGAAGTAAATATTAAAAATGAATGTTCCATTCAGGGCTGATTACAGAGCGCTTTACATCCTCTTTAATTTAAACACTACCAGGTGGTTGGAACATTTCTTTTGCATTTCCACCAATTAAACTAGTTAAGCATTCCTTTGCCCTGGAAGATATTAAATTGCACACGTTCTTCTTTAATGATTAAAATGATAGCAGGACCCATCTTGCGGCATATTATAGTTTCTCCCTTAAACGTGCCATTTAGTATAATTCGTAGAATATTAAATATCATTGCTGCTCGTGTTAATGTTATATTTTTCACTTGGAATTACTATTAATACGTCTTTCATATTTTCTTCTGAGTAAAACAATCCTTTTTTGCAGTATTGCTTATTAAAAGGAAAAATTATAATTATAATCGTAATTACCTATTATAAAATAGAATGTTTATTTTTTATCAATATATTTAATATGAATATTACCCACATTTCGTTGCGAACTTCAAGCTAAATTAGGTTGTAAAACTTTCAACCTTGGTACAACATTCTCTGTGTACAATTTTATTTTTATTTGGTGAATAAAGTCGTTAATCCTCTACAACTTTGAAATCACATGCCTATTATTTAATTTTTTTGAGTCTGATTTAATCCTATTGTGAATATGCATAAATTATAATTTAAAAATAATGGTATTTTAAATATCTTACAATATCATTTATAATATTTTACAATATTTCACACTAAGGTGGATACAGTTGAAAATGTGTGTTTATTGAAATTTACCTTCCACATGAGGTGCAATATATTTAAAATACTATTGCTAATTTGGTATCGTTGGTCATAACGATTGACATTGTCTAATTTGTAACACTGCAAATAATAAGGTCGAATTACTTGTTAACTAATACCACCTGTGGTCAAACCTCGATCTGTAGAAAAGTTAAAAAGCAATTTGCAAAAGTTTGTCAGCAAATATTCAATCCTTGCAAACGTTGCCTGATCAATCATTTTATTAGCTACACATTTTTTTAAACTTATTAGGCGAAGGTTATTTGGAATACAAACAAAATCGTTATTTTATGTCACACTGCAATTACACCAAAGTTTCAAATACTTCTTGTTTTTCATTATTACTGCGAACTAAAATATGAAAGTTTCGTGGTTGGTTTCTCCACGATAGTATGTAGTTTTATTTGTTTTTATCCTCTGTCGTGATTTTGTATTCATCTGGAACAAACTGGTATTCCAAATATGCTACATTTTCTGTAAACATTGGTAGTTCTAGTAACTTGTTAAAACCGTCGCGCAATATTTTAATCGCCTTTATTATATTGTTGGTCAAGGTGCTCGAAGTCAGAGAACGGATGAAGAAAAGTGAAAATACTGACGATAATTAATTTCCACGGATGCCCGAAGCCCGATCTTATCTGCGAATCGAGAACACAGCGAACAGATGAAAGTTTCGCGAACGTAAACACACGACTGACTCACGACTAGGTAAATGTAAATACGCGATTGGATCAGAGTGGGCCAAACTGCAAATCTAGTTAGAAAAAATGTCCTACCCAACAGAAACAGCTTCCTATACCAACTTATACAATGTTGTCGTGAAGGAAAGACCTTATTTTTAAAAAGAGAAATTTTTAAGCTATTTATTTTAAAAATTGACAAATGTGTTATAAACATTGTGAACATAAAATCAATTCTCTGTCCTTTACCTATATTTGAAAACGTAAAAATTGGTGTTTATTATCATATCTACTACAATTTTTTATATACAGAGGCCACCCTTGGGAAAAATTTTAATGGAAGATTCTAGAGGCCAAAATAAGACGAAAACCAAGGATACCAATTTGTTGATTGAGGCTTCGTTAAAAAGTTCTAGAAACATTTCCGGTCACACAGTAATTTTCGGTAAAGAATTTTTATCTCAAAAGTACGTCTATTCACCAAAAATGATTGTAATTGACCCCCTCAACCGAAAATAATTTTCTCAGAACGATTTGAAATTTTTTTTCAGGGTAACCAGACAGTTATATTTTCAGTAATGAATTTTTTTTCCCAAAGTGAGTAAGATTTCGGGGATATATCTATTCACAAAAAATGATTGTAATTGACCCCCGCAAACGAAAATTATTTTTTCCGTGAATGAATTGAAATTTATTAATTTAATTATTTAATAACTTTTTAACGAAGCCTCGATCAACAAATTGATATTCTTGAGTTTCGTCTTATTTTGGCATCTGGAATCTCCCGTTAAAATTTTTCCCAGAGATGGTCGAACACCTTGTATATACATTTGTATTTAAATATTTGTATCTGAATCATATAAACTAGAAAATTTATCATCAAACTCATCGTTAGAGTCATCATCGCTCGATAAAGGCTTGCGGAAAGCTACAGCTTCTGAATTCGTTAATAAATTAATAATATCTGTATACGGTACCTCTCCTTTTTTGCTTGCAATTGATACGCTTCTTGATAAAGTGGATATAATTGGATCCAAAGAAAATAATAAAATATTAAATAAATCTTCCACTGTGTTTT